AGTATCCTCCTAGTAACCTAATAATTGTTAACAACAAAAAACAATAGAATTTTTGGTCTTTGTTGCCATTTCAGACTGTTATTACTACAAGCAGAGAAAAAATGTATAATAAAAAGGTTATACAAGAATGTCACAAAACATACACTAAGGCAGTACATGAATTCACACACAACCTCCGATATGTGTTGGTCAATACGGTCACTGTACTGCCTTCATGCATATTTTGCAGTATTTTTGCAATCATCTCATTATATTTTACATTCATTTTGATGAGATGGCCAATTGACGGCCATTTTGTAATCAAATGAATCAGAGGTTTTCTATTATTTATATTTTAGATCTACACTCCACTGACTGCAAGGTATAAAGTATTGGAAGAAAGCCTTGTGTGAAACTGAATACAGCCTTGTGTGAGCCTTTTGAGAATAACAGGGAGAAGAAAAAATTAAATTTAATTAAGAGACTTCTGATTTGACAGTGGACTTCTAATCATTCTGGCTTAGAGCTTCTACTCTACACCTTATTTTCAGTGTCTACCCATTGACAATGTACACTGGTGTTTACTATGTAAATATGATTAATGATGAAGATTATTGACATTTCTTACTTGATTTCTGGAGCTGAGAAAATTAATATACATTCTTATTAATTAAAAATAAATTTGAATATCTTATGGACAGCGATAAAATATCATTATGTATGCAACTTAAACAGCAACACGCATCTTAATTGACATTTGTTTTTTTGCATTTTGTGTAGTTTTATTTATTTTATTCTTTTAATTGTAATCTTTTTCATTCCTTCCAATATTCCTTCTTTCATTCTGTCAAGGCAGACTTTTACTAACATTTTACAGTATGGAATTCTGCTGATTCAAATTTTCTAATCACTCACTGAACCTTGTGTGTTAATACTGTAGAATACTTTATTTTCGCTTGGAATTTATTTTCGCTATTTTCGCTGAAGGGATGATTCCGTGAAAATAAAATCCAGCGAATATACTTTTTTTCCTATACTTCACATTAATCTCATCAAAAATCAGTGAAAATAAATTCCAAGCAAAAGGCCCAAAAAGCCTTTTCAGCGAAAATTAATTCCAGCGAAAATAAAATATTCCACAGTAGTACATGAATGAAATATAGAAATACTTGCACAGTGCGCAATAAAGTTCATTTTCCTGTAACCATGGTGAAGATATTATGTTAGTT